TCCCATGCGCGGGAGGGCGGGTGCCCCATGCAGCCCGCCTGCAATCACCCCCCCACTCGGGGTAGGGGCGGGGCCGGCCCCCGCACGCTCTGACCCCCTGCTCCCCCCAGGTGCCAGTGTAACGGCCATGCGGACACGTGTAACGAGCTGGACGGGACGGGCTGCCCCTGCCAGAACAACACGGAGACGGGCCCCTGCCAGAACAGCGCCCAGGCTGACAAGAAGGACTGCTACAAGTACCAGGTGGGGGCGGGGCCTGGGGCAGGGGCGGGGCCAGCCAGGGCTGCTACAAGTACCAGGTGGGGGCGGGGCCTGGGGCAGGGGCGGGGCCAGCCAGGGCTGCTACAAGTACCAGGTGGGGGCGGGGCCTGGGGCAGGGGCGGGGCCAGCCAGGGCTGCTACAAGTACCGGGTGGGGGCGGGGCCTGGGGCAGGGGCGGGGCCAGCCAGGGCTGCTACAAGTACCGGGTGGGGGCGGGGCCTGGGTGAGGGGTGGGGCCAGCCAGGGCTGCTACAAGCACCCTGGGGCAGGGGTGGGGCTGAGGAGAGAGGGAGGGGGTGCTCAGAGGGAGCTCTGTGGGGCAGGAGTATGGGGGAGGGAGACCTGCGTGGGGTGGGGGCTGAGGGGATCCTCAGAGGGAGCCTTGTGGGGCAGGGGTGGGGGGCAGAGGCTGAGTCAGTGGGGGGAAGGGGATGCTCAGGGGGAGCCCTGTGGGGGAGGGGCGACCTGTGTGGGCGGGGGGCTGAGCCGGCGGGGGGGAGGGGCACTCAGAGGGAGCCCTGTGGGGCAGGGGTGGGGGGGCTGCTCTCACTGACACTTCCCCCCTCCCCCCCAGTGCGCCAAGTGCCGGGACTCGTTCCATGGGGCGCCGGTCGGGGGCCTGCAGTGCTATCGGCTCATCTCGGTGGAGCAGGAGTTCTGCTTCGACCCCACCTCGCAGAGCAACTGCTTCCACCAGCCCAACCTGCAGCACCTGGCGCGCGGCCGCACCGTGCTCTTCGGGGTGCAGCCCAAGTTCACCAACGTCGACATCCGCATCACCGTGGACGTCACCTTTGGCGCCGTGGACCTCTTCGTCTCGCCCGCCTACGACACCTTCGCCGTGGACGTGGACCGGGCCACGGGGGTGCACGCCGTGCGGGTGCTGGCGCCGGGTGGGGCCGAGGGGGGGCCCAACGGCACGGCCCCGCCCCGGCTGCGGGAGGAGCGCCCCCGCGGGCTCATCACCTACCTGACGGTGCGGGAGCCGCAGGCCGTGTTGGTGGTGCGGGGCGTGCGGGACCGGGTGGTGGTGACCTACCCCCACGAGCTGCACGCCCTGAAATCCAGCCGCTTCTACCTGCTGCTGCTGGGGGTGGGCACCGGCCCCAACGCCAGCGACTCCCAGGGGCTGCTCTTCTTCCGGCAGGACCAGGCCCACATCGACCTCTTCGTCTTCTTCTCCGTCTTCTTCTCCTGCTTCTTCCTCTTCCTCTCCGCCTGCGTCCTGCTCTGGAAGGTGAAGCAGTTCCTGGACCTGCGGCACGAGCAGCACCGACAGCTGCAGGAGATGACCAAGATGGCGAGCCGCCCCTTCGCCAAGGTCACCGTCTGCTTCGAGCCGGAGGCCGGGCCCCACGCCGCTGACCTGGTCTTCCTGCCGGCCCGGCCCCACAAGCCGCCGCCGCTGCCCGCCCCCCCGGCCCTGCCCAGCCGCCTCAAGCCCTACCCCGAGGCCCCCTACTCGGCCCACTTCCGCCGCTCCGAGCCCTTCCTGTCCCACCTGCTGGGCTACGCCTACTCCAGCTTCCGCGTGGGCCCCGTCACGCTGGAGCCCACGGACGACGGCATGGCCGGCGTGGCCACCGTGCTCTTCCAGCTGCCCGGCGGCCCGCAGGCCCCCAACCGCGCCTGCCTGGCCTCCGCCCTGGTCACGCTGCGCCACAACCTGCAGGACTATTGCAGCGGCAGCCACGGGGCCGGCGGGGCCCGCAAGGGTCTGCGCAGCCATGACCACCTCACCAGCCTCTCGCTGTGACCCGCCGGGACCCCCCCGCCCCGCCCCGCCCACGCCGGCCTGTCGCAGTGACCCGGCGGGACCCCCCCCGCCCCTCCCACGCCGGCCTAGCGCGGTGACCCGCCGGGACCCCCCCGCCCCTCCCACGCCGGCCTGTCGCGGTGACCTGCCGGGACCCCCCGCCCCCTCCCACACCGGCCTGGCGCGGTGACCCGCCGGGACCCCCCCGCCCACGCCGGCCTGGCGCGGTGACCCGCCGGGACCCCCGCCCCCGCCCACGCCGGCCTGGCGCGGTGACCCGCCGGGACCCCCGCCCACGCCGCCCTGTCGCCGGGACCCCCCCCCCGCCTCTCCCACGCCGGCCTGTCGCGGTGACCTGCCGGGACCCGCCCCGCCCTGCCCTGCCCCTCCCACGCCGGCCTGTCGCTGTGACCCGCCGGGACCCCCCCGCCCCTCCCACGCCGGCCTAGCGCGGTGACCCGCCGGGACCCCCGCCCCTCCCACGCCGCCCTGTCGCGGTGACCCGCCGGGACCCCCCCGCCCCTCCCACGCCGGCCCTGTCGCGGTGACCCGCCGGGACCCCCCCCGCCCCTCCCACGCCAGCCTGTCGCGGTGACCCGCCGGGACCCTCCCCACCCCTCCCACGCCGCCCTGTCGCGGTGACCCGCCGGGACCCCCCGCCCCCTCCCACGCCGCCCTGTCGCGGTGACCCGCCGGGACCCCCCCCCCCTCCCACGCCAGCCTGTCGCGGTGACCCGCCGGGACCCCACGCCGCCCTGTCGCGGTGACCCGCCGGGACCCCCTCGCCCCTCCCACGCCGCCCTGTCGGGGTGACCCGCCGGGACCCCCCCTCGCCCCTCCCACGCCGGGCCTGTCGCGGTGACCCGCCGGGACCCCCTCTTGCCCCTCCCACGCCGGCCTGTCACGGTGACCCGCCGGGACCCCCCCTGCCCCTCCCACGCCGGCTTGTCGCGGTGACCCGCCGGGACCCCCTCTTGCCCCTCCCACGCCGGCCTGTCACGGTGACCCGCCGGGACCCCCCTGCCCCTCCCACGCCGGCTTGTCGCGGTGACCCGCCGGGCCCCCCCGCCCCTCCCACGCCGGCCTGTCACTGGGAGAAGCCAGTAATCACCCCCGCACCCCTCCCCGGCCAGCTTGGGCACCACAGTGGTCAGGCCACAGACACCCCTCTCCTGCCAGCCTGCTGCTGGGAGCTGTCTGGGGGTCAGGCCCCAGACGCTGCCCCACGCCACTGTGGACACCAGGGCCTGGCACCGGGCCGCATGTGGACGGACTCCCGAGGATCCTGGCTTGCAGCGGCTGCCCGGGGGAGGAGGATTCACCTTGGACGGGGGCCCCTGGACCCCTCCCTGCCCATGAATGGGGCCTGTGTCCAACCTGGTCTGACCCCCTCCACAAGAGCCCCCGGAACAGCTCCCCCCCCAGGGGGCTGATGGGGCCTGGGGGTGTTGGAGCCTCGATTCACCTGTGTCCAGGTAATTCCCGTATTTAAGGGGGAAGGAGCAACCCCCCCACCCGTGGGAATAAAGAGACCAGCCGGCTCCACGAGCTCCGAGTCTGTGTGGGGGGCAAGACAGGTGTCCTTGTGCTGCTGCGTTGCCAGCCCCCCCCCCCCGGGGGCCACACCTCCCTCGGGCAGGGTCCCCCTAGAACTGGCCCCCCCACCACTGGGGGCCACGTCTCCCTCAGGGGCAGGGTCCCCCTAGAACCGGCCCCCCCACCACTGGGGGCCACGTCTCCCTCAGGGGCAGGGTCTCTCTGGAACCAGCCCCACGCTGAGCATGGGTCCCTGTGTATGAAATGGCCGCTCCAGGGATTGCTCCTGACTCCCTGCCCCCCTCAGGGCTTGGTAGGGGGGAGTGGATCAGTTGGGGCTGGGCCCCCCCCCCAACTCTGGCCATGCCCCTCACTCCTGACCTGCAGCCCCTCGCTACCCCAGCCTGGCCCCACGGTGATGATTCCCCCCCCGCACAGACACAAGGCACCAGTGTGAAAAGGCAAAACTTTATAGGAATAAAGTTTTTGACACTTCCCCACCCCTCCCCGAGGACAGGGCTGGAGATGGAGGCCCCAGCTCTGGGTCAGCCAAGCCTGGGACACTCCCCCCCCCCCCCCCACCAATCTGTGTTCCTAGGGGCCCCCTGCTCAGGGCGTGGGGGGGTGCCCCTAGTACTGGGGGTGAAAAAACACAATGGGTTTACAAGAGGAATTGACCATGGGGCTGCTACTCCTCCCCCTCCCACTGACCACCAGAGAACCCAGGAGTCCTGGCTTCCACCCCCCTGCTCTGGTGCTTCCCCGCCAGTCTTTTGGATCTTAGAGAATTTGGGGGTCATAAGAATGAATATTGCCCCCCCCCAGCAACTGATTTGGGCTGAGAGGGTCACCCTCAGCAGAGAATGGTCCAGTCCTCTCCTGGGCAGACCCCCCCTCCTCTTGGAAAGGTCTGGCCCATTATACCTCTGCTCCCCCACACCAGGAGGGAATGGCACAGTCCTCGGGGAAGGCTCTGGCTGTGCCAAGCACCTTGTGAGCCCCCGTGGCTCAGTCCACGGCTCGCCCCACGAGGGGAGGCCGTGGTCCTGTGACTTCGTCCATGACCCCTCCCCAGGGGAGGCTGTGGCCCTGTGAGCCCCCATGGTTTGGTCCATGGGTCTGTGACCCTCCACAGAGCAGCCTGTGGCCCTGTGGCTCAGTCTGTGGCCCCTCCCCGGGGCACCCCGTGGCTCCATGACCCAGTCCGTGAGCCCTCGTGGCTCAGTCTGTGGCCCCGTGACCCCTCCCCGGGGCACCCCGGGGCTCCGTGACCCAGTCCGTGAGCCCTCGTGGCTCAGTCTGTGGCCCCGTGACCCCTCCCCGGGGCACCCCGGGGCTCCGTGACCCAGTCCGTGAGCCCTCGTGGCTCAGTCTGTGGCCCCGTGACCCCTCCCCGGGGCACCCCGTGGCTCCGTGACCCAGTCCGTGAGCCCTCGTGGCTCAGTCTGTGGCCCCGCGACCCCTCCCCGGGGCACCCCGTGGCTCCGTGACCCAGTCCGTGAGCCCTCGTGGCTCAGTCTGTGGCCCCGCGACCCCTCCCTGGGGCAGCCCGTGGCTCGGTCCGAGGGCAGCGGCTCGGCCCCGGCCCTCAGTCGCAGGCCCCAGCCACCTCCTCGCTCTCCTCGTGGCTGTTCTGCAGGGTGCTCTTGCCGTGCAGCTCCTTGAGGTGGCGCCGCAGGCCGGGCTTGTGGGTGAAGTGCACGGCGCAGTAGTTGCAGCGGTGCGGCTTGCGGCCGCTGTGCAGGTTGAGGTGGTCCTGCAGCGTGGCGTTCTGCGTGAAGCGCTTGCGGCAGACGGGGCACTGGAAGGGCTTGAAGCCGGAGTGCACCCGCAGGTGCCGCGTCAGGTTGCTCTTCTGGGAGAAGAGCTTGGCGCAGCGCAGGCAGAGGAAGAGCCGGTGCTCCCGCACGTGGCTCGCGAAGCCGGCCAGCTGGGGGAACAGGCCCTCGCAGCGCGGGCAGCGGTAGGGCCGCTCCAGCTCCGGCGCCTTCCTGGCCCCCCCCAGCCCCGCCGGCCTGTCCTTCCGGGCCGGCTCCAGGGGGCGCCGGCGCAGGGGGCAGCCCCGCCACGGCCCCCCCGGCGGGGGGCAGGGCCCCCCCGGCGCCACCTGCTCGTCGCCGCAGCCCTGCAGGGAGCTGCGGCTGCTCCGCGCGGCCGAGTCGACGAGGGGCAGGGAGATCTCCGGGGACGAGGGGCTGCTGCGGCCCGCCAGCAAATCCCCGTCCTGCCGCCGCGCGGGCAGGGGGCTGGGGGGGCCCCCCTTCTCCTCCTCCCCGCGGCCCGCCTGCTGCCCCCCGGCCCTGGGCGCCAGGTAGCGGGCGACGGCCTGCGTGCAGCGCTCCACCACGTGGCCCATCTGCAGGAAGGAGGCGGCCGCCAGGTAGTGGACCAGCTCGGGCAGCGGCACCTCGAGGCAGCCGGTGTAGCAGGAGAGCAGCAGCTGGCGGCCGATCGCGGGGCTCTGCAGGAGCGAGACGGACACCTCGGGCGAGTCGCTGAGCAGGAACTGGTCGCGCAGGAAGGGGGAGCAGGCGGCGAAGACCACGCGGTGCCCCGGCACCCGCAGCTCGTTCACCTGCACGGTCACGTCGCAGAACCGCCGCTGCGCCCGCAGCTGGTCCATGCGCCGCAGAACCCCGTCCCCGTAGCCGGGGAAGCGGAAGTGCAGCCGGTCGCGGGCCGGGGCCATCCTGGCGCAGCTGGGGAGAGACGGGGGTCAGGCACCCCACAGCCCGGGGGCCACCGAGAGTGGGGGGATGAGTGGGCGGGGTTTTATGGGGCGGGTGGGGGGAGGGGCGGGGTGCTATGGGGTGGGGAGGGGTGTTGCGGTGGGTGGGGGGAGGGGCGGGGTGCTATGGGGTGGGGCAGGGGCGGGGTGTTGCGGTGGGTGGGGGGAGGGGCGGGGTGTATTGGGGCAGGGGCGGGGTGTTGCGGTGGGTGGGGGGAGGGGCGGGGTGCTATGGGGCGGGGGCGGGGTGTTGCGGTGGGTGGGGGAGGGGCGGGGTGCTATGGGGCGGGGGCGGGGTGTTGCGGTGGGTGGGGGGAGGGGCGGGGTGCTGATGGGGGGGGGCGGGGGTGTTGCGGTGGGTGGGGGAGGGGCGGGGTGCTATGGGGTGGGGGCGGGGTGTTGCGGTGGGTGGGGGGAGGGGCGGGGTGCTATGGGGTGCGGGAGGGGTGTTGTGGGGGGAGGGGCGGGGTGCTATGGGGTGGGGGAGGGGTGTTGCGGTGGGTGGGGGAGGGGCGGGGTGCTATGGGGTGGGGGAGGGGTGTTGTGGGGGAGGGGCGGGGTGCTATGGGGTGGGGATGGGGTGCTGCGGTGGGTGGGGGAGGGGCGGGGGTGCTATGGGGTGGGGGAGGGGTGTTGTGGGGGAGGGGCAGTGTAGTGTGGGGGAGGGGTGTTGTGGGGAGCGGCGGCGTACTAGATTCCTCGGGTCTCAGCCCCGCTATCACCCCCCGGGTGTTATTCCCGACCCATCTTTACGCCATTTGCGTAGTCACCTCACCACTCTCGGCGGCGGCCGCGCTTCCACGCCCGCGTACCTTGCGCTCTAGGCAGCGCGTTCCGCCGTTTGCGCAGCTGCCCGGCTGTTCTACGCAACGTGCGCACCCGCCCCCGCGCCTGTCAGCTGGTCACGTGGCGCCCCCTGGCGGCCGCGGAGGGAGCCCTTTACGTCATTTGCGCACATTCAGCGCTTGTTTACGGCGTATGCGTAGCACGCCTTTCCTAACTGCTATTCCCGAACATGACGTACGCGCTTGGCGTACTTAGCGCGCTTATCCCTCGGCGCCCCTACGTCCTTTACGTAAGACCCGGCTCTCCCCCACGCCCTCACCTGGGCCGCCTCCTGTCCCGGCTCCGGGGCCGCCTCGGCCTCGCCCCGCCCCGCGGGCCCCGCGCGCCGCTCACCGGCCCCGCCCGGCCACCCCGCGCCGCGCCAGCGCCGCCATCTTGGCCGGTCTGCGGCCTCCGGGCCGGGGCTTCTTCCCGCGGATCCCTCCGCCCAGCCGCGGTGCGCAGAGCTGCGCGCGCCGAGAGGGCAGGGGGATCCCTCCGCCGGGAGGGGAAATAGTCCCGCCCCCAGCACCCCCGGCCCCGAGAAAAATCCAGCCCATAATAGTCCCCTCCCACCCACCCCCAAAACCCACTTCGCCCATGATCCCCACACCATAGCCCCCCATCCCCTGCTAACTCCCCCCAGAGCTGCCCCCAGTGCCCTGATCCCGTTACCCCCCAGGTCAGAATATCCCCCAGTAACAACCCCCCGCTTCCCCCCATTCATACCCCCACCCACGGCTGCTGCCCCCCACAGCACCTCCAGCAGTGGGACCCCCTCATCCCACCCTGCCCCCGAGCAAACCCTCCTTCCCAGCCCATAGCCCCCCTCATGCCCCCTCCCCCACTAGAAAACCCCACACCACATGCCCCAGCCTCCACCTACCCCCAAAACCCCCATTTAACCCTATAGCGCCCCCCGTCCCCTGCCCCACTGGGAAAGGGGGGGGGGCTGCCCCACACAGGGCCTTGGTTCTTGCCAGGAAAGGAGATGGGGGGGAGTGTCGTATGGAGGACAGAAGTGGCCCCTCCCCCTCCATAGAGTGGGGTGTTCAAGAGGTGGGGTACGAGGGAGGGGCCAGCCCCCCAGGAACTGTCCCTCCTGTTTATTTAAGGCCCCAGGTGATTCCAAGGGAATGGGGCCCAGGGCCTGTCCCCTCTCGGGGAGGGGCTGGCTCAGAGGGGCAGGGAGTGGGGCCGGGGCCTGTCCCCTCGCGGGGAGGGGCTGGTTCAGAGGGGCAGGGAGTGGGGCCGGGGCCTGTCCCCTCGCGGGGAGGGGCTGGCTCAGAGGGGCAGGGAATGGGGCGGGGCCTGTCCCCTCGCGGACAGGGGCTGGCTCAGAGGGGGGGACAGGGGCTGGCTCAGAGGGGCTGGGAACGGGGCCGGGGCCTGTCCCCTCGCGGACAGGGGCTGGCTCAGAGGGGCAGGGAACGGGGCCGGGGCCTGTCCCCTCGCGGGGAGGGGCTGGCTCAGAGGGGCAGGGAATGGGGCCGGGGCCTGTCCCCTCGCGGACAGGGGCTGGCTCAGAGGGGCTGGGAACGGGGCCGGGGCCTGTCCCCTCGCGGACAGGGGCTGGCTCAGAGGGGCAGGGAACGGGGCCGGGGCCTGTCCCCTCGCGGGGAGGGGCTGGCTCAGAGGGGCAGGGAATGGGGCCGGGGCCTGTCCCCTCGCGGACAGGGGCTGGCTCAGAGGGGCTGGGAATGGGGCCGGGGCCTGTCCCCTCGCGGGGAGGGGCTGGCTCAGAGGGGCAGGGAACGGGGCCTGGGAGAGATGCTACAATTGGCTCAATATCAAACAGTCTTTTATTTACAAAACTGGAGGTTGTGGGTGGGGGTCCCTACAGCCCCCTGGCAGGGAATGCACCCCCAACCCTTCATTTGGTTCACAGCAGCAGCAGGCAGGGGGTGAGTAGTTTGGAGGGGGGGCAGATGGGCTGGAGCACCCCCCCCAGTGCACACAGGGAAAGGAGGGGGGTAGACAGCTCCCTTCCCACCCCCCAGGAGTATGGGGTGGCAGAAGGGGGGGTCAGGAGCTGCACCCTCAGCTCAGGCCTGGCAGCTGGGGCATCCCTTGGAGTGCAGGGCTGGCGTGTGGGAGCCCAGGAGGGGCCAGGCCCCCTGAGGGTGAGGGGCTGGGGGACGGGAGACGGGAGACACCCCCCTCCTCAGGCTACAGACAGCAGCAAATGCCTGTCCAGCATAAATCACTACAGACCAGTCCCCAGGGGCTGTGGGGGCACCCAGCCAGGCTCTCAGGGTTGGGCCCCTCCCCACCTGGGAGCCACAGAGAGAAAAGCACCAAGGGGCTCCCAGCAAATCCCGGCTCAGGCCCCCACCTCCCTGCCCGCCGGGCCGCCCTGGGGCCCCGGCTCCCGCCTGTGGGGGGCTCCCGCCTGTGGGGGGCTGGGCTCCAAGGGAGCTGTGGTCGGACTCTTGAGGCTGGGCGAGGTGAGGCCCGTGGCCGCCTGGCCCGTGGCCCGGCTTTCCCGGCCCGTGGCCGCCCCCGAGGGCGGCGTGCGCGGCAGCTTGCGGTGCTTGCGGGGCGAGGGTGGGGCAGTGGGCGGCGCGGGCTCCGGGGGCAGCAGGATCTCACGGATGACGCGGGTGCAGAGTGCGGCCGCCTGGCGGGTCTCGCGGCTCAGCTGGGAGAGGCTCAGGAAGCCGTGCGGCAAATCCTGCACGATCCGCAGGGTCACCGGCTGGCCCAGCTCCCGCAGCCGCCGGGCGAACATCACCGAGTCGTCCAGCATGGGGTCCAGGGCGCAGGCCTGCACGGGGGGGCAGAAGTCAATGGGGGCTACCGCACTTCCCAGGCCCCTGGGCCTCCCACTGCTATATGGACCAGTGCCCCCTCCCCGTGGGCTCTCACTGCTATATGGACAGTGCCCCCCGTCCAGCTGACTCCCCTGCCCGGGCTCTCACCACGATATGGACCGGCGGCAGCCCTCGCAGCATGCTGTCCGGGGCCAGCAGGGGAGACATGAAGGGGTTCTTGACCACGGGCGATGCCTCCACAGTGATGATGGCGGCGGGCTGGTCCGAGCGCAGCGGCTCAAAGCCGTCGGGATACTGCAGCCTCTCGTCCCCAGGGGCCTCTGCCTCCAGCTGCTCCCCACTCAGGAAGAAGCTGGGGGGGCTGCCCTGGGGAGCGGGGGCAGGCGCAGAGGTCGGGGGGGCTGATACCCCGTATGATAGATCCTGGCAGGTCTGGCTCTTGCGGGAGCCCCTGGATTTGACAGCTGAGTCATCGTCCAGCGCTGCCTCTGAGACGCTCTTCCGCACGGCTTCTGTGAGCCAGGGGAGACGTGAGAGCCTGGGGACCCCCCGAATCTCCCTCGCCTTTCCCCTGCCAGGACCCCTCCCCATTGCCCTCACCTCTCCCCTGCGGGGATTTCACCCCATCACTCTCTCCTGTTCCCTGCCTGGACTCCCCAAATCGCCCTCACCTCTCTTCTGCCGGGACCCTTCTCCCCAGTCGCCCTTGCCTTTTCCCTGCCGGGACCTCCCCAAATCACCCTCACCTGTTGTGACAAAGTGGGAATGTTCTTAATGTTCTCTCTGAATACTGCAAGGGTGCCTCAGTTTCCCCTAGGCATTTCTTAAGTCTCTAGGGGGTGGGGTAAGGGTGTATGATCGTTGCAGAGCCCTAGAGGGCAGGTGTGTGCAGGGGTCTGGACACAGAGAATGGCCGACACCCTGTTTCCTGGCCACTGATGGCCTGGGCCCCTCCCCTGCAAGGTGCGAGTTGAAGGTGTTGGGGAACAGAGAGATCAGGTGGCCTCCTGGCCCGGACAGGGACAAAGGCTGGAGGAGGAGCCGGGGCGGGTGGCTGGGTGAGACAGCTGGAGTTTGGAGCTGGCTGGGGAGACGGGGGGGGCGGGGGCAGGGGGGAAGGCCCAGAACTGGGGTCTGGGCTTCCCACCCCCCCAGGATGGACCTGACTGCGGGGTCCTGTTCTCTGCACCTACCAGCTCTGTGTTAGACCATGTTCCTGTCGTCTAATAAACCTCCTGTGTTACTGGCTGGCTGAGAGTCACGGAGAATCGCAGGAAGTGGGGAGTGCAGGGCCCTGACTCCCCCCACCCTGAGATACCTGTCCCCTGCCGGGACCCCCCCAATTGCCCTCACCTTTCCCCTGCTGGGACCTCCCTGATCACCCTCACCTTTCCCCTGCTGGGACCCCCCAAATCACCCTCACCTCTCTCCTGCCAGGACTCCCCCAAATCACCCTCACCTCTCCCCTGCCGGGACCTTTCCCCCTCCCCTCCAGCTGGTGCAGCGTCTGTGCCATGCCGGGTTCTGCTGTGTGCGCCTAGGTCACCCCACCCCTACGTGCCCCACGGCCCTGCCCCACCCCAACGTGCCCCCCTGCCCTGCCACCCTGCCCGGCCGCCCTGCCCGGCCGCCCTGCCCCACCCCAACGTGGCCCACTGCCCGGCCGCCCTGCCCCACCCCAACGTGCCACACAGCCCTGCCGCCCTGCCCGGCCGCCCTGCCCCACTGCCCAGCCGCCTTGCCTCACCCCAACGTGCCACACAGCCCTGCCCCCCTGCCCGGCTGCCCTGCCCCACCCCAGCGTACCACACAGCCCTGCCCCCCTGCCCGGCCGCCCTGCCCCACTGCCCGGCCGCCCTGCCCCACACCTACGTGCCACACAGCCCTGCCCCTCTGCCAGGCCGCCCTGCCCCACACCTACGTGCCACACAGCCCTGCCCCCGCCCGGCCGCCCTGCCCCACCCCTACGTGCCACACAGCCCTGACCCCCTGCCCGGCCGCCCTGCCCGGCCGCCCTGCCCCACTGCCCGGCCGCCCTGCCCCACCCCAACGTGCCACACAGCCCTGCCCCACTGCCCGGCCGCCCTGCCCCACACCTACGTGCCATGCAATGTCAGCCCACCCTGCCTCCCTGCCACCGGCCATCGTGCCATGCAGTGGCAGGCTGCCCCACTGCCCCAGGCTGCCCTGCCCCACACCTACGTGCCATGCGGTACCAGCCCACCCTGCCCCACTGCTCCAGGCTGCCCCACTGCCCCAGGCTGTCCTGCCCCACACCTACGTGCCATGCGGTACCAGCCCACCCTGCCCCACTGATCCAGGCTGCCCCACTGCCAGGCCGCCCTGCCCCACACCTACGTGCCATGCGGTACCAGCCCACCCTGCCCCATTGCTCCAGGCTGCCCCAGTGCCAGGCTGCCCTGTCCCACTCCTGCATGCCACGCAGTACCCCAGGCTCTGCCTGGCTGCCCCTGATGCTGAGGGGCAGCGCCGTGGGCGAGAGCCCCCAGGAAGCTCCCCTGACCCCAGGGTGGCCCGTGCAGTTAGGGGCTGGTGGGGCAGTCCTACCAGCGGGTAGGTTAGTGGGGCGGGGATCCTGGCTCCCAGGAGACGCGCCGGGGCAGAAGCAGCAGCTGGGTGGTGGGGGGCGGGGCTGGCACCAGGCACGCCCTGTGGAGACAAGGGGCAGGTGAGAGGGGGCGGGCAGGGGGCAGGGGTGGGGGCCCCGCCCAGCTCTTACCTGCACCGGCCCCATAGCTGCGCCCCGGGGCATCCAGCAGCGCCCCCAGCCAGGCCGAGGCGCTGTGCCGCAGGTCCTGTAACAGCAGCGCGGTATCCCGCCGCACCATGTTCACCGGGCTCAGCTTCTCCAGCCCGGGGGGCTCGCCCTCCGCCGGCTCCGTGCCTGGGGGGCAGGGACAGAGACCGCTGGGTTCCCCCTGCCCACCTCTGCCCCCGCCGGCTCCGTGCCTGGGGGGCAGGGACAGAGAGCGCTGGGTTCCCCCTCCCTGCTCGCCCTCCGCCGGCTCCGTGCCTGGGGGGCAGGGACAGAGAGCGCTGGGTTCCCCCTCCCTGCTCGCCCTCCGCCGGCTCCGTGCCTGGGGGGCAGGGACAGAGAGCGCTGGGTTCCCCCTGCCCATCTCTGCCCCACCCCTCCGCTCGCCCTCCACCGGCTCCGTGCCTGGGGGGCAGGAAGAGAGAGCACCGGGTTCCCCCTGCCCACCTCTGCCCCCGCCCTCCGCCGGCTCTGTGCCTGGGGGGCAGGGACAGAGAGTACCGAGGTCCCCCCCTGCACCGCACCAGGCCCAGGTTCCCCTCCCTGCTTGCCCTCCACTGGCTCTGTGTCGGGGGGGAGGGCAGGGAGAGAGCGCATCTGGGTAGCTGCTCTTCGCCCCCACACCCACCAGCTCTCCGCTTTTGCCCACCCGTCTCCCCATATTTGTCCCCCTGTAACTGCCCACTGCCCCCTCTCCCATCCTGCCCCTGCCCATAGGAGCCCACCCCCAGCTCATCACTCCCGCCCCATTCCTGCCCCCCTACCCCCCCCCCGCCAGTCCCTGCAGCCCCCCCTACCGGCGTAGGCACTAAGGCACTTGCAGAGCACGCTGAGGGGCAGCAGGGGGTCGAGCAGGGTGAGCAGGCGGGAGGGTGAGGCCGCGGCCCGCACCAGGGTGACAGGATAGGCCGCCATGATGCCGTCGGGCAGCTGGATGCCGAAGGCGGCTGCCCGCATGGTCACGGTGAGGCAGAGGTTCCCGCCGGCGCTGTCTCCGGCCAGGCAGACCCGCTGCGCCGTGGAGCCTGCGGGGAGATGGGGTGAGTGGGGGGGGGTCTGCCCAGGGCCTCAGGGAACCCAGGGGGGCCCCACCAGGGGTGGCAGCTCTGTTCCTGCCCCACACTCTCCAGCCCCTGCCCGTCCCACCCAGCGAACAGCGTCAGGGTCCTGCCCCCCATGTGCCCGTCCCATCCAGCAGGGGGTGCTGGGGTCCCCATCCCCTCCCCCCCACGGGGGTGCTGGGGCCCCCCAGTTGCGTCTCACCCAGCAGGCGGCAGTGCTGCAGGGCCCAGCAGTAGGCGTAGAAGCACTCCTCCAGGGCGCGTGGGAAGGGGGCCTCGGGCGCCAGGGCGTAGTCGACGGAGAGCACGGGGGCGCCCAGCTCCTGCGCCCAGCCCCGCAGGTACGGCTCGTGGGACTTGGACGTCTGTGCCACGAACCCGCCGCCATGGAAGTGAACCAGCAGGAGGGGCGAGGGGGGTGCGGGCGCGGCCTTACGCCACAGCTCCAGCCCCAGCGGGCCCTCGGCCTGGGCCAGCGCGCTCAGGGCCTCGCTGTCCTGGGGAGAGCAGGAGGGACGGTGTGCCAGGGACCCCCGGACTGTCCCCCCGCGCACCCTGCCTGGGACCCCCCCGGCTCACGCAGTACCCTGCCCTGCCTGTGACCCCTGCTTGTCCCCCCCCCACACACCCCATCTGGGACCCCCCCATCACACTCAGTGCCCTGCCCCGCCCGGGACCCCCCGCTTCACGCGGCACCCCGCCCCACCCGGGACCCCCCGCTTCACGCGGCACCCCGCCCTGCCCGGGACCCCCCGCCTGGGACCCCCCATCACACTCTGTACCTTGCCTTGCCAGGGACCCCCTGCCATCCCCTCATGTGTGTCCCACCCAGGACACCCCCACCCATCCCACTGCCCCCATGCACGCCCTGTCTGGAACCCACCACCTGGTCCCCGTAACCTGCCCTGGAACTCCCCGGCCCTGCCTGGACCCCACCTGGTTCTGCTCACTCCCTCCCACATCCCAGAGCTCCCAGCCCCATGCCCACCTTCCACGCAACAGCCCCCCACCCGCTCCACTGGCCCCCCACCCACCAGCCCTCCCTGCTTGCAGCCCCTGCCCCTTACTTGTCCCTCACGCAGCTGGTGGGAGATAAGGCGCATGTGGATGGGCCCGGGGCCAGTGTGCGCCACCGGGGGGCTGATGGTGATGGTCAGTGAGGGGTCGGCAGCCAGCGGCAGCTCAAAGGGCTCAGGGGGCACCGTCAGCGCCCGGCTCACCCGCACCTGCGTGGATGCCATGCTGGCCACAGACTGCAGGGAAGGGGGAAGGGAAGGGTGAGAGGGACCCCCAGGCAGGTCCTACCCTGCACTCCCCCGCCCCACAGCACCCTGCGCCGATCACTGCTCCCACCCCCCCGCCCCACAACACCCTGCGTCAGACACAGCTCCGACCCCCGCCCTCTGGCCCCACAGTGCCCTGCGCCGGGCACCACTCCTCCTCTGTGTCCCAGCCCCACAGCGCCCTGCGCTGGGCACAGCTTGTGACACTCTGTACCTCGGGGCAACACCCTGCACCCCCACGTTCATCTTTATAAAGTGAGTGTGGGGGACCCAATGCAGAGTTTGTCATGTCGGGTGTCTTCGGAAGGCTGATAATGCCCTGAGCATGGTTGTTATAGTGACGTTATAGTAATCGGTACAGTCATGTGACAGGTTATAATTTCATGTATATAGTTATGAGCCTGAAATGTGTCCTCACGGCTTAAAGCCGGCCCAGGCAAAACCTCTCCAGGAGCAGAGGGGCCGTTCACACCTCGTCAGGGCATGGATGGGACAAACCCAGCCCAGCCGCACAGGAACAAAGGACGCTGTCTTAGGCAGCAACAAAGGATCTGTTGGACCCTCGAGTGAGTCACCCCCCTTCACTTCGCCAGTTTGGGACTGCGATGAGGTAATGCTGACTCTGAAGGAGGGGCAAAGCCAAGAGGGAAGAAAGGACATGGTAAAAGGGAGAGACGTTTGCCATGCTCTTCCTCTCTCTTCCACCTACATCTACTGACACCACCAAGTGACTGAAGTGCTGATCAAAGGGGAGAGCCTGGCTGAAGGGCAACCAGCCAGCCTGTGGTGAGAAACATCTAAGTTTGTAAGTGTGACGAAGTGGGACTGTTCTTAATGTTTCCTCTGAATAGTGTGGGGGTGCCTCAGTTTCCCCTAGGCAGTTCTTAAGTATCTAGGGGGTGGAGTAAGGGTGTATGATCATTGCAGAGCCCTAGAGGGCAGGTGTGTGCAGGAGTCTGGACACAGAGAATGGCCGACACCCTGTTTCCTGGCAACTGATGGCCTGGGCCCTTCCCCCCTGCAAGGTGAGAGCTAAAGGGTTGGAGAACAAAGGAATCAGGTGACCACCTGGCCCAGGAAAGGAACAAAGCCCAGAGGAGGAGGGGCTGGAGGGGGTTTTCAGTTTGGGGCTGGCTGGGACATGGAGTGAAGTGCAGACGTGGTTGTCTGGCTCACTGCCCCCCAAAATGGACCCAGCTGAGGGGTCCCGTTCTCTGCACCTGCAAGCTCTGTTTTAGACCATGTTCCTGTCGTCTAATAAACCCCTGTTTTACTGGCTGGCTGGGAGTCACGTCTGACTGCGAAGTTGGGGTGCAGGACCCTCTGGCTTCCCCAGGAGCACCGCCTGAGCGGACTCGCTGTGGGAAGCGCACGGAGGGGCAGAGGAGGCTGAATGCTCCGAGGTCAGACCCAGGAAGGTGGAAGCTGTGTGAGCTGTGTGTCCTGAAGACAGGCTGCTCACAGGAAGGCGACTACCCCAGAGTCCTGACTGACTTCATGGGGAGCAGTTCCAGAGCATCGCCCAGGGACTCCGTGACAGTAAGGGCACTGAAAGTGTTAAGATCAGCTTAGAATGCGTTTTGCTTTCATTTAATTTGACTAAATCTGACTTGTTATGCTTTGACTTACAATCACTTAACATCTATCTTTGCAGTTAATAAATCTGTTTGTTTATTCTACCTGAAGCAGTGCGTTTGGCTTGAAGCGTGTCAGAGACTCCCCTTGGGATAACAAGCCTGGTATGTATCAATTTCTTTGTTAAATTGACAAACTCGTATAAGTTTGCAGTGTCCAGCGGGCATAACAGGACATTGCAAGATGGAGGTTCCTAGGGTTGTGTCTGGGACCGGAGATATTGGCTAGTGCAGGGGTTCTCAAACTGGGGGTCGGGACCCCTCAGGGGGACGTGAGGATATTACCTGGGGGGTTGTGAGCTGTCAGCCTTCACCCCCAAATCCTGCTTTCCTCCAACATTTATAATGGTGTTAAATATATTAAAAAGTGTGTTTAATTCACTAGGGGGGTCGCACTCAGAGGCTTGCTATGCGAAAGGGGTCACCAGTACAAAAGTTTGAGAGCCACTGGGCTAGTGTCATTCGGTTGCACAATCCAAGGAGCAGCTGACATGGCAGAGGCTTCGCGTGAACAGCCCGGGAGTGGGGGTTCTCACAGCAGAGCAGGGTCAGGCTGGCTCCCAGAGTCAAGGATTGGAGGGACCTAGCAGATCACCGGTCCAGATAACGCCAGAGGGGAACGTCACACCGCTCCTACCCCACACCCCAGCCCCACAGCGCCCTGCACCAGGCACCGCTCCAATCCCCTGCCCCACAGTGCCCTGTGCCAGGTACCGCTCCACCCCCTGCCCCCACCCCACGGCACCCTGTGCTGGGCACCGCTCCTACCCCGAGCCCTGTGCCAGGGACAATCCCCAGCCCCCGCACTCACAGCCAGCAGCTCGGTCTCCGTCAGGTTCCAGAAGCTCTTCCAGAAATGCACGTCGAGGTTCTGCGTGATCCTCTCGAACTCGGCTCCCCGCAGCTCCGGGTCAATGGCGAACTTCCCTGAGGTGAACAGCGAGCCGGCCGCCATGCCTGGGGGGATGGGAGATCGGGGTGGGGTGCTGTCCCCTGGCCCTGTGGGGCTCCCACAGCCCCTGCCTGCCCCCTGGCAGCGCTCCCTTGCCCCCACCAGCTTCCTCCACAGCGAGGCTCCATGGGCAGCCATGCACGGGGTCCAGCCCCCAATGGGCAGGGCAGTGGGCAGAGCAGAGCATTGTGGGTAGCAGTCAGGCCAGACGGGTTCCCTGGGCGACCGGCTGGGCTGAGTGGACCCAGAAGGGAATTGTGGGTTCAGCCAGCCTGTAGCTGCAGTGCATCATGGGAGCAGAGCACCCCTGGGGGCTGCAGTGCATTGTGGGTGCAGCCCCCCCTGCAGCAGTGCATCATGGGAGCAGAATCCCACCCCGGGGGCTGCAGTGCATTGTAGGAGCAGTGCACCCCCCGCCCCCCCGGGCACCCCACTCACTGAGGCTGGAGTCATGGCGTCTGTAGTTCTCCCCGAAGGAGACCAGGCTGATAGCGATGGTCTGGAGGAAGGGCCGGATGGAGGGGGCGAACTGCAGGGCAAAGGGCAAAGGTCACCCTCAGGACCCCCAGACCGGGTCTGAGGGAGCACCCCGGGGGCATGATGCCGGCTCACCCCCCCATGGGTGTTCAGTGGGGGAGGGGGCAGAGTAATGGGTGTGGCCATGGTGTGGGGGGGGCAAGCAATTGTGGGGCCATGGAGGCGGGCCCTGCACCCAGGCCAGCAGGGCCCAGAGCGAGGGGCACAGCGGGGGGGGGGGGGGGCACAGCAGAATCCCTGAGCATGTCTGGCTGCCAGGGACTTGGATGCATTTCCTTCGGCCCCTGGGTCGCCCCTCCCCGACTTGCCGCTCCCCCTCAATCCCCCCTTCCCCTGCCCCCCAGGCCCCCACCTGGAAGCCCAGGCAGCGCCCGTAGAAGCAGCCCTTGTGCAGGGTGCTGTACTCCTGCAGCACCAGCTCGGTCAGGCCGCGCTCCTCGTGGTGGAAGAGGCAGCCGGGGCGGTTGTGGGTCAGCAGGCGCTGTGCCAGGTACAGCAGGGCCCGCAGCTGGCTCAGGGCGGCGCAATAGGCCTCCAGCTCGGCCGCGTTGTGGCCCGTGCGGAAGAAGATGCTGCGGCGGTTGGCGGCCACATAGCGGCTCTTGTGCAGCACGTGGGCCAGGCAGCAGCGTGCCGTCTGCGCCAGGCTGCGGTATCCGTTGGCCTGCGTGGCCTCGTCCAGGTCGAAGACGTGGTAGATGCTGGCGAAGTGCCGCAGCACCGGCTCCAGGCAGCGGGCGTGCTCCCGGATGGCCGTGAAAGCCGCCACGAACCGGCGCCCCGTCTCTGAGGCGCTCTGCCGGAAGAAGGCCACGTTGTCCTCGGCCAGCGCATGCAGGGCCTGGAACAGGGGCCGGGAGTCCATGGCGCGGGGCCTGCGGGGAGACGGGTGGACGGAGTTAGCTGGGGGGCCCAATCAGGGACAGGCAGGGCTAGCTGGGGGGACCCCAGCAGGGAGGGTGAGAGGGTTAGCTGGGTGACTTGGGGGGAGGGCTTGCAATGGGGGGGGTATGGTGGGTGGAGTAAGTACCCCCCCACTCACCCCTCCCAGTGCCCAGCTGGGCCCCCCCATTCCTAATACCCCCAGCCGGCCCCCCAGTATTCAGCCCCAGTTAGGCCCCCCCATACTCACCCCCACACCCTAGCCAGGACCCCCTTGTACTTATTCCCCAAGAACCCCGCCAAAGCTGCCCCCATAGTTGCCCCCAGCACCGCAGCTGGGACCCGCTTTGCACTCATCCCTCAGAATCCCCACATAGCAACCCCGCCCTGTGCTCATCCCCCCAACGGGGACCCCAGCCCTATTCCCCCGCAAGCCAGACCCCAGACACACACCCACTCACTCTCAGCCCCCTGTGCTCATCCCCCCAACGCCCAGCCAGGACCCCAGCCCTGTTCCCCCCCAAGCCAGACCCCATACACACATACACTCGTCCTCAGCCCCCTGTGCTCATCCCCCCAGCCGGGACCCCACCCCTGTTCCCCCCCAAGCCAGACCCCAGACACACACCCACTCACTCTCAGTCCCCTGTGTTCATCCCCCCAACGTCCCGGCCAGGACCCCAGCCCTGTTCCCCCCAGCCAGACCCCCTCCCACACACACACTCACCCTCAGCTAGTGCCTGCTCCCCTGGCTGGGCTGTGGCAGAGCCTGTTCCCTCCAGCTCTTTATAGCCCAGCAGGGAGCCGGCTCCACCCCCCGGGAAGGGTTGAGCCCATGGGAGGGAGGGGGTGGGAGGCACCGACAGGGAGTGGGGAGAGTGGTTAGAGCGGGGGGGGGGGGGCAGGACTCATGGGTTCTCTCCCTGGCTCTGGGAGGGGAGGTGGGGTTAGTGGTTAGAGCAGCAAAGCTGCTCCCACCCGCTCCCCACCCAGGGCAGGCTCACAGGCAGGCCCACATCTCACCCCCACACCCCGGGGCCCTTTCACCCAGACCTGGCATCCCCATAGCTGGGAGCCTCCATTCGCGCCAGTCCCCAGAACCCCCCTCCAGCAGGGGCTGCGGCTCCTGCCAAACAGGGCCTCACCCATGGGTCCCTGGGGCCCGGCTCCGAGCAAACAAACAGCCAGGGGTACTGCAGGGCACTGACCTCTAGACAGAGCCCCACAGCTGGGCCAGCCAGCCCAGGATCAGACCCCTGGGCACCTCCTGCCCAGGCACGGGATGGGTTAACCTGCGGGGGACGGGGTCCCCTCTCTGGCTGCCCTGATGCCAGCGCTGACGGGGTTAAGGAGATGTGGGGCTGGGGCTGGCCCTGCTTGGCAGCTGGGAAAGCTCTGGGAGCAGGGCAGGAATGTGCACAAACAGCTGGGAGCTGGACTGGGGCAGGGGGGACTGGGGCAGGGTGGGCTGGGGGGGCACGTGGGGTCCAGAGGGCGGGGGCAGGAGGGGCTGAGGGGGGCATGGGGGGCAGGAGGGGCTGGGGCAGAGGGTGCTGGGGGGGCACGTGGGGTCCAGAGGGCGGGGGCAGGAGGGGCTGAGGGGGCACATGGGGTCCAGAGGGCGGGGGCAGGAGGGACTGAGGGGGGCATGGGGGGCAGGAGGGACTGGGGGGGCACGTGGGGTCCAGAGGGCGGGGGCAGGAGGGGCTGAGGGGGGCATGGGGGGCAGGGGGGACTGGGGCAGGGGGGGCTGGGGGGACACGTGGGGTCCAGAGGGCGGGGGCAGGAGGGGCTGAGGGGGGCAGGAGGGGCTGGGGCAGAGGACGCTGGGGGCCTGGGGTCTCTCTATCTAGTGTCTATCCCCCTAGGAGGGGGGTGTCAGAGGGTCAGGGGTTCCTACCCTAGGTGGTCCCAGTATTTGGCACCTGCCCATGGGGTAAGCTGCCCCCCCTCCCCACACACGCACTACCTTGGCCAGCCCACAGCCTAACCCCCACAGGGCTGAGATACCCGTGGGCCTGGGGCAGAAGCTCACATCCCCATGGCTAGCCGGCCTCCAATCCCCGCATGCACTGCCCCCCCCCTTGGGGATGGCTCCCCCCCCCGGCACTGCCCCCCCCCAGGGACGGCTCCCTCCCCCGCCCGGCACTGCCCCCCAGGGTGTGCTGTTGACTGCTGCTGTGCCCCCCAAGGCTGTCGGGGGGGAGGCGGGCACCGTGAGTGGCTGCCGGCCTTGTGACTCCCAGGGACAGAGGCCCGCCCAGGGAGCCAGGAGCTGTTGGTGCCAGGGCAGCTTGGTGCACACAGCGCTCATTGTGCCCCCTGCCTGCCCAAGGGGCAGCCCCGCCCCACAGCACAGCTCCGTGGGGGAGGGAACCTTGGTGGGGGGGGGTCATGTTCTGCCCCACCACCACCCCAGGATCCCAGACTTGGGGCAGAGAAACGTCACAGGGATAGGTGCATTTGTGCCCAGGGTGCCCATCTGTGGCCATGGAGCAAAGATCATTGGGGCAACAAAGGGACCTTGCTCCCCACGGGAGGCAGGAAGGGGTCTTCCCCACAGTGCACCGACCAGAGAGAGGAGCTAGAAACCCCTCCCCCCAGCCATAATAAAGAAAGGTCCCTGCCCCACACCTCCCCGCAAGCTTACCCGGTGTGGCATGCCCCACTCCCCCCGACAGCACCAGCATGCCACGCCCCATGCCCCCTCAATCCCCCAGCACCCGAACACCTCGAAGGACACGAGACGCCCGTCAGATGTGGCTCTCCCCACGCAGCACCAGAAGGACGAATTTTAGGCCCAGATAAAAGAAACCCAACAGACGCGTCAATGAAGATGTAAGAAGCTCCAGGGGAACGTCAGGATCTCCGAATGCTCTGCCACGGGCCCCTTCGGACTGAGGCCACTGTGTTGCCGGAGCAGCTGGGACTGGAGGGATACGGCAGATAGCTCAGCGCAGGCCGACTGAGGGGACAGAAGCGCAATCGGTCAGGAATATATCGGACGTGTCTTGCCCAGGGCGCACGGGGCTTGTCTTTACACTAAAGAGAAGCTCAAGCAACAGACCTAAGTAACCGACAGCCCAGGCACCACCCTCGCTGAGACAAGCCGCTCCATTAACCAGGCGCCCGGTGCCTGCACAGAGAGGCTTCTGCACACAACTCTCTAACCAGCTTCTCACAGCGGTGCAGAGCGTAATCCAGCACCGGGACAGAGGTGATTTCATTAACTTATCTCTGACCTGCGTCGGACCAAGCGGCAGCGTGACGAGCTGCCAAACAAGGGAAGAGCTCTCCGAGAGAGGGATGGGACTAACGGCAAACCAATCACTCCTGCTGCCAGCTCGCACGCCAGGGTGGGGCCAGCTGGCCCGAGGAGCCAGCCTGCCCAGCGCAGAGCGGCCTGTGGAAGTCAGTTACTGAGTGAAGATAAGCCACCAGCAGGAGGATGTGTGGTCGGAGGACGCGTGGCCGAGCGAGTCTTATGCAAATGCTGTTGCCTAACCTGTCTTACCCCAGCAGGGATGGCACAAGATGACTTGTGCAGAGAGACAATGTTGCAAGAAGCCGCGAAGACAACACCTCGTTTCCTGGCTGGCTGATGACAAAAGACCTGGCCTCTTCTTTGCCAGGCGCCTGGGTTGCTTTGACTGGCCCATGCCAGCTTAGACACGGAGTGGAACGGACCATGCCACGCGGCAGGCAATGGAGAGAACACCCCGTTCTACCCCCCAGAAGCTTCAGAAGAGAGTTCGGAAACGTGGGGATACTGCGTACAGAGAAACTGACTCGTCACCTCTTGTGGCCTCTGGGGAGGTGTCGACAATCACGCTACTGCCACCTTTAACATTGTGCCTTGGAATTCAGCGGGCACCCGGAACCGCAGCTGGGAAGCTGCGAAAGTTCTGTAGGGGGGAAACACGCACGTTGCTGCTCTTCAAGAAACAAACTGTAATTCCAGCTGCTTGAGAAACGACTGCACGGGGCGAGCTGGGGGAGGCCTGAGGTTGGTTATTCGGGAGATGCTCCAAACAAAAGAGATGTGGGAGTCCAGGAGGTGAACGTCTGTCACCCTGACGACACCCTGTGACGAAGTGGGCCTGTTCTTAATGTTTCCTCTGAATAGTGTGGGGGTGCCTCAGTTTCCCCTAGGCAGTTCTTAAGTATCTAGGGGGTGGGGTAAGGGTGTATGATCATTGCAGAGCCCTAGAGGGCAGGTGTGTGCAGGAGTCTGGACACAGAGAATGGCTGACACCCTGTTTCCTGGCAACTGATGGCCTGGGCCTTCCCCCCTGCAAGGTGAGATCTAAAGGGTTGGAGAACAAAGGAATCAGGTGACCTCCTGGCCCGGGAAAGGAACAAAGCCCAGAGGAGGAGGGGCTGGAGGGGGTTTTTCAGTTGGGGGCTGGCTGGGACATGGAGTGAAGTGCAGACGTGGTTGTCTGGCTCACTGCCCCCCAAAATGGACCCAGCTGAGGGGTCCCGTTCTCTGCACCTGCAAGCTCTGTTTTAGACCATGTTCCTGTCGTCTAATAAACCTTCTGTTTTACTGGCTGGCTGAGAGTCACGTCTGACTGCGAAGTTGGGGTGCAGGACCCTCTGGCTTCCCCAGGAGCCCCGCCTGAGCGGACTCGCTGGGGGGAAGCACACGGAGGGGCAGAGGATGCTGAATGCTCCGAGGTCAGACCCAGGAAGGTGGAAGCTGTGTGAGCTGTGTGTCCTGAAGACAGGCTGCTCACAGAAAGGCGACTGCCCCAGAGTCCTGACTGGCTTCATGGGGAGCAGTTCCAGAGCATCGCCCAGGGACTCCGTGACACACCCCAACTGGTAAAGCGAATCATTGGGGAACGGCAGCCAAACAATCACCTGGGGAGGTGTCAACGCTGGATGCGCAGTTTGCGGGAACAGAACTGATTCAGCTGGAGCTGTGCTAGATATGTGACAAAGTGGGGTTTTCCCCCCTTGTTATGTTGCACATGAGTCTTACTGTTGCACATGAGTCTTACTGTCCTATACTAATACGGTGTGTGCCTCAGTTTCCCTGCGTGCTGCACCAATGCCTAGGTGGTGGGAATTGGGTGTGTGACTTCCGCTGAGCCCCTTGGGGCAGGGGAGGCTGCTCAGTAGTCTGCATGTAGATGATGGCCGATGCCCTTCGTAACCCCAGACCCAAGATGGGGATGCAACCAGGTGACACTTTCCCAGGAAGCTGGACAAAGACGGGAGGAGGAGCAACAGGCATGTTGGAGGCCGGGCAGCGGGGGTCAAGGGCAGTCTGCTGTGGGGGACTGGAATGGCCAAGGGTGCCCCCAAGATGAACTTGGCTGAAAGTCACTGATTTCTGAGCTAACAAGTTCTGTTCTACGCTGTGTACCTGTTGACTAATAAACCCTCTGTTTTACGCTAGCTGACAGTCACGTCTGACTGCGGAGTTGAGGTTCAGGGCTCTCTGGCTCCCCCAGGAGCCCCACCTTTGCGGACTCGCTGCGAGAAACGCACGGTGTGGAAGGGGATGCTGAATGCTCTGAGGCAGGACCCAGGAAGACCGAAGCTCCATAAACGTCTTTCCCTGGCAACGGTGAAGAGGAGGCTCCCCCAGAGTCCTGACTGGCTCCAAGCGGAGCAGTTCTAGAGCATCGCCCCGGTGACTCTGTGAGAGAGGACAAGGTTTTAGTTGAGCTGAATGAAGGCGCCATGACTTACACATGGCGATCATACGGCTCACAGTCCCTCTGGCTGTAACTGGGATGCACATGGGATGTTCTGGAGGACGCTAGAAGCAATCATCAACCTGCACTCGCTCGTTAGAACAGGGAGAGAGTGAGCTCTCCGGTGACTGACAGGAGGTGGAACATCCATAAAGCTGACTGGTCCCATTTCACAGACACATGAGAAGAGTATTTTTTAAACACCTAGGAAGGTTTTCCAATCTGCGCTGCAGAAATCAGCAAAAAGGAGCATGCCAAGAGGCAGAAATGGATCCCACGCTAGAATGGTACAGGGATGGGAGATTTTAGAAGGGAAGGAATCCAGTTTGACTGGAGGCTGAACAGACCCTTGGAGGCAAAAAGGCCAGATGGAAATGGAAGGAACTTTCAAAAGAAGTCGCTCTGAAAACAGCTGAATGTAGACAAAGGCATCAGGAAGAGACTTGTGAATAGCTGAATCCTCACGGGAGAAAGGATTTATAGATGACACTGCAGAAAATCAACAACAAACAGACCAACACTTGCAATCTAAAGAACACCATGTCACGGAGTGTGGGGGAGTCCAGACCCTGCACCCCTCTTCCTGGGATTCACTGAGACTCTCAGCCAGCCAGTAAAACAGAAGGTTTATTGGACAACAGGAACACAGTCCAAAACAGAGCTTGTGGGTACACCCAGGACCCCTCAGTCAAGTCCTTCTGGGGGAGCAGGGAGCTTAGACCCCAGCCCTGGGGTTCCCTGTGTTCCTCCACCCAGCCCCAAACTGAAACTAAACCCCCCAGCCGGTTCCCTACTGCAGCCTCTGTCCACATTCCTGGGCAGAGGTGTCACCTCCCCCTCCGGGCTCAGGTGACAGGCTCTCAGGTCTCCCATCCCCAGGTCAACACTCCCCCCTCCCTGCTGAGTCACATCCTCAAACACCAATATCCTGACAAATGGAGGTACAGAGGCAAAAGGTGACAGAGTCTGTGAATACTGTACCAAGACTAGCAGGCGCACAAGGACAAGGATGGAGCCGCTGCAAATCATACAAGATGGACTACCCAGGAGGAAAGACAAAGAGAATTTAAAAACGTGCACACACATTTCACTGAGTACCTTGGCTTTAGTGAGATCTCTCTCATACACGAGCTAGAAGATGCAATAGATTTCAGAGTAACAGCCGTGTTAGTCTGTATTCGCAAAAAGAAAAGGAGTACTTGTGGCACCTTAGAGACTAACCAATTTATTTGAGCATGAGCTTTCGTGAGCTACAGCTCACTTCATCGGATGCATACACTCAAACCAAGAATCCCGTGGGCTGGACCTCCCCTATGGTTATGGTGAAGCACTTTGGGAAGAAGGCTAAAGCCAAGTTGCTGGAATTTATCAACAAATCATAGATAAAAGGGACGGTCCCTAATCAGTGGAATTCAGCAGTTATTGTTCTTAAGTCTGGCATGGATCCGTCTTCTCCAAGCAGCTACTAGCCTGTATCCTTAGCCAGTCACCTTTACAGATAACGGGACACATGGTCCAATCATGGCTTCTGTGGGGGCTTCCAACAGGAGGGAAGATGATACTCGTCCCAATGGCAGACAGGCCTCACACTCAGTTACAGGGTCCCTGGGAGCCTTCTGTCAGCCTCTTATTGATGGATTCCCATGCCAGCCACCACAATCATCAACAGGAGTCTGTTTGGATCTCAGCCTGTTTGGACCTCATGTGACAGAGTCTTAGTGAAATAGCGAGAGGGGAATCTGTGGCAAAATGTACCTCGGGATAGGAGATTTCCTGCAGTACAGGACAACAACAGGAAGACTAAATGGTACTTTTTTGAAGGCAAGACCTCAGCGCGGGAGTTCCTTCGGGCTCAGTGTTAAGTCCTCTTTTCCTTCTGGACTCCTATGGACTGTCCGGCCACGTGACATCACCTGTATGCCTGTGTGCAGGCGAGATCACGCTGTGTGTCAGGGTCGGAAACAGATGTATTGGAGACTGAACTGAATGAGGACTTGGAACTGTAACCAGATGAGCAAACGAACATAAACTTCAGCCGAATCCAGCAAAACCGTAAGAGGTTCGACCACAGTCCGAAACTGACACTGGATGGAGAACATATTAGCGTTGAGAGCGAGCCAGTATACCTTGGAATGACCTTGGACATGGAACTAGGGTTTGGGCCACAAGTCAGAAAGATGGCAGCCAAAGCCAAGAAGAGACTAAACCTTCTACAGTGTATTGCCAACACCAACTGTTAGGTGTTAGGGTACGGAAAACAACATGCGGCTGGATAGTTCACCCAATACTTGAATCTGCCTCTCTGGTTTGATCACAGCAACCCTGCCAAGATGGAAGTTGTGCAGTCAGCCAAAATTCACACGACAGCTGGAGCTGTAAGATCCTCTCCAACAGCAGTTTGCAACCAAGAGTCTGATGTTCAGCCTCCTGATAATCGTGGACGAGAACAACTAATTCAGCAAGGAAATCATCTCATTCCCACCTGAAAGTCGTCACTGCTCACGTCTGCGCAGGAATTGGAAACCCAAGCGCAGGCTGAAATGATCATCCTATTTTAAAGGTGTGCCAAGGCCACTGAGAAAACGGGAGCAGTAGGTGATGTTAGAAGGGGAGGGGGAACGAAGAATGTGGTGTGCCCAGTAATTATTCCACAGGAACTGATTTATTTCAGTAAATGTCTCTCTCTTCTGGAGCTGAGCTCAAAGAAACATGTGGACTTGGCCCCACTAAGGAAAACTGCAGAAAAGACCACCCAAGAGTATCAGTCACAAGGCGAGTGGAGACCCATGTCCACTGATGGCTCAACAGACAAATCCTTCCAGCATGGTGGTTGTGGTGTCCTCATCCCGTGGCTAGCAGAGAGAGCACAAGAAAGACCCTTCGCTCAGGGTACGTCAGCTCCAATTATATAGCTGACGTGAATTCTCCTGGCACTGCAAACAAGGACTAGGCTCCTCGGACCGAAGATCAAGAGCAGACACAGATGCTGGTGTTGTCTTGTCTGTCGACCTGCAGGTGAAGACCCTCGGTTCCTTTCCCAAAAACCAGGTCGCTGCGAACCCTAGGGTGGCTCAGAGGACGGGGATGCGAGGGAGGAGAGTGACTTTTCATGGGACTCCTTCACACACGGGTGTATCTGGGAGCGAGCGAGCGGATGACCTGGCCAAAGCGGGAAGGCTGGAAACTCCGGTAGGAGCGACAGCGGTGGAGGACACTGGCGCCCCATCAAGGAAAATATTCGCTGAAACAAACGGCCGAGAGAGAGACGCTCCTCTGAGCGGCGTCAGAGCGCCTCGGACAAGACCAGCCCCCGCTGTGAGGGTGGGGACAGGGCCTAGGGCAGGAAGGGACGCGAGCAGCGACGGGGCCAGGCGCTGTCCACGCTGCGAGGCGGGTCCTGAGCGGCTTTCACACCTGCCCGGGCTTCTGAATGTCGCAGTGCGAGGGACGCGCCGCCCTGGCCTTCGGATCGAGCCCTTCGAACAGACCCTGCCCGAGGCAGCCAGGGCGAGGGCCAAGCCCAGGGCCTGACCCCCCGCCCCCGCGCCCCGCCCCAGCCCTGCCCCAGTCCCCCGCGACCCACCCCAGCCCTGTGCCCTGGCCCCCGCCCCGAACGGACC